AATTATAAAGATGATTTTTTTGGTCAGAACGAACGACAGGAGTTTAGATTATCTATACATTTTTCGAACAAAAACCTAAAATCGCTGGAAAAATGACGGCTCATTTCCTTTATTTCTGATACAGGAGGAGAGTTTAAGAGCGCTGAACTGTAAATGGTTAGCAAACGATGTTATTTGTGAAATTCTTTTACCAATGTTCCTATTTTCGTTAGACACTCTAAAATATCGGAGGGTTAAACCACCACATGGGTCCCGACTCCCGAGCGCGGCCGTGTCTGCAGCTCACCGCTCCCCCAGGGGATGGGTCAAATGTGGAGAACAAAATTGCACACACATCAGTGTGTGTGACAACTAATGGGACTTTAACTTTAAAACTCCAGTCATCATTTCACCGAGGTGAATATGGTTGAGCAAAAACGCACAAAGTTGTAACTGTAAACTTTGTTGCTGCTTGGCCAGGACTCCCTTAAAAATGACGTTTTTAATCTCAATGGGACCTTCCTGGTTAAATAAAGAATAAATTAAAATAAAATAAAACAAAGCAGGTAACTTTATGTCTGGCCAGCCAGCCCCATGCTTCCTCATGGGAAGCATTGCTCTCTGTGTAGAATTAGAGGATGAGTGTGGCAGGCCACTGAGGCCAGCCCATGTGTGTTTATATACATATACATGGGCCAGGCCATATATAATTGTATAAACAGTGTTTATATAAATACATATAGCTTGGCCCATGTATATGTTTATAAACAGTGTTTATACCATAGACTGTACATACGTTTATACGCATATCTATAGGCCAGGCTAGGTAACTCTGTGATTTTTGGTTCTTGCGTCGGCTAACTAATGTTGCCCTCTGGTGGTCATTTTACGCCTTTACAACTACAGTTGGCAAAAGATTGATGAATCTTTGAAGATGAAGATGAATGAATGAATGAATGAATGAATGAAATAAGAAACAGTAATTGTAAATGATGAGCAGTGTAAAAAGTAATGAAACTACAATAAAGTCTTGTTATAAAGACGAAAAATAAAAATTTCGTTAATAATAATAGTAATAATAATAATACAATAATAGTAATAATAATAATAATAATAATAATAATTTTCATGATTTAATTAAATAGAAGTGTGTTATGCATTATTAAATGGTACTATTATATGCCAGAATTTTTTTTTTTATAAATTTGAATTGCTCTTTCTGGAATGTGTTTAGTTAATGTCTACTTAAAACCAATATATATATATATATATATATATATATATATATATATATATATATATATATATATATATTTAAGTTTGCTAAATATAAATAAAGAGAACATTTTTGATTTGCAAAATCAAAGGTTCAGCTCATTCATTTTACGTGACCATAAGGAAAAATATTTGATGTGGCAAAAACTCATCTTATCAATGTTGGTGGAAAAAGGCGTAAGTTGTAATTTCACAAATGATCAGTGGAGTTGGGACGGTGTTACTTTAGAAATTTTGTTAATCATTTCACCAAAGTAAAGTTTACGCCTACAAGTCACAACAAGATGGTTGGTGAAAAGTCAATAATGAGAACAAACAACAACAACAGGTTATTTTGACTTCTTGATCTTTGACTTTTGGGTTGGCTTCAACAATTATTAACGTCTGGTGGTCATTTTTCCACATGGCAACAAACACAGTTAGCAAAAGATACTACAAGCTGCTTCTGCTAATTATTGTTTGACCTTTCTAATAGATGAAAACAACAAAAAAACAACAAAATTAATAGAACATTGGGATTTGTTTACAAAAATGACATGAGTATTTTTCATAAGGGTCGGCAGTTAAAAAATTGTTGCAATGTCTCAAAATCACCATGGGGGGTCACTAAAGAGCAGACAAGACATTTAACGTCAGTGCTATTGACTTTTCAAAAAACGTCATATTTTAACCCTTTGATGCATAATGGTCACTACAGTGGACAGGTACTCAAAATTGTTATTTATTTATTTTTGCTATTAAACACAGCTGTTGAAGACTTTATTGCATTTGAGCCCCTCCATTCGTACTTCAGTAAGTAAAGCCAACATATTTCATGCTCAGAATGCACGCTGTCCACTGAGGTGGACATGAAATAAACTATTTGTAAATTAAATGTTACAAAAAATATGTAAACATGAAATTTGTTTCATTCACACCTAAAGATGAATGAAAAAAAAATGTTAAAAAAAATCATGGTTGAAGATTTCATAATTCATGCATCAAAGGGTTAAAGTACTTTTTGTGTGATAAGAATTAATTTTTTATTTTTATTGTTTTCATTCATCATATATCACACTCAACCATTAAAAAAACAGTTTAGCTAACATACCGTAAATCCTCTAATACAGGCCCGGGCCTGTATTTGACTCAAGCTCATCAAGCTCCAGGCCTTTATTTGAAGGAGGGCCAGAATTAGAGGCAGGCCTCTATTTCTATTTGAGCAAAATGAACTAATGGTTCACTGGAGTTTTTGACAATTAAAATTGCGCCCACATTTTCAAAGTTAAACACATTTCTTTTAACAACGGTAGTTTCTGCTGCAGCCCCCCCCCCCCCCCCCCCGCGCAGCGGCCGCAAACTCACTGATGCGCCTGCAGCCTCTCTGAGTTCCTGCTGCTCTAAACATTAAAATAATTATTTCATTTTCTGTTCCTCACTTCTGATTACCTTCAATGGTGTCTGTTTGTTGCAACCACCAGGTACAAAAACTAACTTGTTTTTATTTGACTATTTTTCTGTCCTGCCTGTTTATTATCTTCCTGCATCTCCTCTCAATCCTAAAGAAAAACTGCTGCCTGGGTTCATATATATTCACCTTATGAGTTACCTTTGAACTGCAGTTCTAAAAGATCTACCGACCGCAAAAACAGCGGAGTGCTCGCTGCTTGGCGGCCGCATCAGTGATCGGTGCGTCACCGGAGGACAAGGTGATGCGCCCCGCTCCACAGCAGCGAAACGCATCAGGTGCAAATAAAAGACAGAAAACATTAAAGGAAATGAATCGACATGAACGATCGCGTGTCAGTACCGACGCTCTGGCACAACGCGCAAAAATCAATACACTTGCATTTTTTGCACCTCAGATTTCTGATAAGAAACTTCAACTGCCAAAACCAAACTTTAACGGCTTTAATCCTTCTTTTGCTGTTACTGTTGAGATGTTTTAGTTAGCAACAGCAACATTTAAACAATTAAACTGCTTTAAAAACATCCACAAACCCAGCACTTTTTATTTCCTTTTTCTTGATCTTCTCTACTGTAAATCTTGATTTTTGTCATGAACAAACTGTGCACGGCTGATTTTTATGGTTGCTATAATTCATCCTTTACATGAAAGCCCACTCTGAGATTCCTGGAGGTTGTTCAGACCAGGTAATGTTCCAGCTGCACCTGGGTCACACTCAGAGCAACACCTAGACATTTCAGTGATCCCAGTTATGCAACACACTTGATATGAGATCAATACAAGATCCTTAATTTGCATGACTTCATTGTAAGGGCACTTCCATCCATCCATCCGTCCGTCCATCCGTCCATCTGTCCATCCATCCATCCGTCCATCCGTCCATCCGTCCATCCATCCATCCATCCGTCCATCCGTCCATCCATCCATCCATCCATCCATCCATCCATCCATCCATCCATCCATCCATCCATCCGTCCATCCGTCCATCTGTCCATCCATCCATCCATCCATCCGTCCATCCGTCCATCCGTCCATCCATCCATCCATCCGTCCATCCATCCGTCCATCCGTCCATCTGTCCATCCATCCATCCATCCATCCGTCCATCCGTCCATCCGTCCATCCATCCATCCATCCGTCCATCCGTCCATCCATCCATCCATCCATCCATCCATCCATCCATCCATCTGTCCATCCATCCATCCATCCATCCATCCATCCATCCAGCCGTCCGTCCATCCATCCGTCCGTTGTCTGAACCCGCTTTGTCCACGTAGGGTTGTAAGGGCACTTGTGTTGCATAAATATATAAAAAATAAACTTTATTGAATTACATCAGATATCCTCCATTGTAATCGAGGTACTTTTTAAACATTATTGCAATAAAAAAGCAGAAAATGGTAAAAAAAATCATAACAGAATAGTCAGAATAGTCATTCTCTCAAACAATTGAAGGCAGACAGCATCTTCGCTCAAACAGGTGGTTTAAATGTTAGCGATTACAGAAACTCGTGGGCTTCAAAAAGCCTCCCACAGAACAGACCGGTTATGAAATCTCCACTCGACCCTGGGCTTCAGCTGCTTGATCATCAGACTCGATCAATCATCTTCTGGCTTTGAATAAAAATCTCAGAGGGAGTTTATGATTCAGACGTCTGGTTTTAGAGGTGACAGATTACACTGAGCTCTTATCAAATCAATTAGGTTTCGAATCTTATGATAATGGTGTTTTGAACCAGCTTAATTAACTTGATCATTAGCACCACATTAATGTGATCAAAGGCTGTGAGATTAAAGGAGCAGAATCAAGCTTTTAATCTTTTGTTCATCCTCCTTTCTAGTTAACTAAAATAATAAAAATGCTGTGTGAAAGTTGGAAATCACTGTTGTTTATTAAATTTTGCATCCAGGGAGGAAAAACCTCCTCGTAGCCCATTAAAATGGTTAGAATCAACAGTTTACCAGTGCTTTAAGTTTGTGTTTAAATATTAATAGATTCTTATGCGTTCTCTGTCCAGGTATTCTACCTGAACTAGATCTCCTTAGAAGATGAAAGAAACCCTTCAGAAAGCCTGAAGATATTTTAGACACGAGCATTTTAAGAAAGCAAATTAGTAATAAATAAGAGTGGGTCCAGATTTGGAGTCGTGATGCGACAGCTGCATTTAAAATTTATTTGCACTTTAAATTGGTGTGAATCATATTTAGTAAACAAACGTCACCTACACTGCAGTAAAATTAGTATAAAGATGCATTTATTTGTGTGTTTTTGTCTCTTATTTTGAAAAACCGGAAGTGCATCAGTATTTCCCAGGTGAGCCACGCAGGTGTTAAGCGTCAGGTGAGAAGCCATGTGTGACAAGGTGGAGGTGAATTTAACCGGAGTGAGACAGAGCCAAGGCGTGTGGCTGGTTAAGGTTTGTACACCAACAAATAACCGGATTATCACGATTAACGCGCCGCGTCAAACACGTAGTTTACCGTGCAAAGTCTGCCGTTACCGAAGCGATTTTTTTCTGTGTTTAACAAACAAATTCTGATTTTTCTCTTTAAAACGTTTTTAAAAGATGAATGTGTGAAACTATCTGACAGGTTCCCAAGTATTTATCTCAGCAATGGGACAAAGCTACTGAAAAGGGGGACGTTGGGAAGATCACCATCAGGAAGTATGTTTGCTTTTTAATTTAGTCTTATTCTTCCAGCAATTGATTATTAATTAGATGACTTGCTTTTGTCCTGAACTATGAGTGATGCAATTTGCTGGGTTCCTTATATAGGACGCATTATTTCTGATTGGCTTAATGAACTGTGAATTGGAATGTTTACTGTGTGAAGTGCCGTGAGACGACTCTTGTCGTGATTTGGCGCTATATAAATAAAATTGAATTGAATTGATGAACCTTTATTCCCAACAGGAAACAAGGTAAAACAGAGGTGAGACCTCCTCACATGGACATCAAGCAGAGAGACCAGACCGGTGACCCCGGCAGCTCAGTGACAGACTTTTGTTTCTCAGGTGAGCTTCAGCCTGAAAGAGGAGCTTGCTGCTGTGGGAGCTGTGGGGGAGAAGGATGCAGGATCGCTGCAGGTCCCAAAGGAGTATCCCTTCACGATGCACACAGTGGGTGGACAGACCCTGGGTGTCTTCAGCCAGAGCGAAGCAGGTCAGACTCCCAGCTCTCACCTCCCTGCCTTCACTGTGCAGGAGAACGTTTGCAGCTCTTTGGTTCCGTCGGAGGCCCGGGGTGGAAACTGAAATAGATGAGCAGCGTTTCTGTTGCTCAACAAAAGATGCATCATGAAATATAAAATGTGAACGGTGTAAAGGAAGCTGTGAGACGTTACACAACATTCTCAGTTTTATTTCAGATATTAAACCATTGCAAAGAAGGCAACAATAGAAGGAAACATAATCAAGTGTTTCTCTGACAAACCTGCTGATATATTCTTCTTTGACTCCACTGTAAAATTCATGAGAATACTGTCCAGCTCTCTAGCCGCTGAGGACGTTCGCCGCCAGGCGTGATGTGTCACACCGCGTTCTGAGCCAGAGGGATTTGCATCAGATCAGGAGCTCTAAAATAGATGCAACTGTGTCGTTGGGTGTTACCGTGCCCGGACCATTACAAAAGCCTGAGGGGGAACTTTTCAGTGTTAAAGCACTCTTTGAAACAGAAATGCGTTTTAAGATTTTAGGACACAGAATGGAAACGTGAAATGAAATAACAGGAGGAGGAGGGTTGAGTGGGTAGCTTCATGCCAGGGCACTGGCGCTAAAAAGGAGCGGCTGTTTTTCAAACCACTTTCCTAAAGCGTGGTTTCATTTCATTCATTTATTTATTAGATCCCCATTAGCTGCTGCTTCGTACAGCAAATATTCTTCCTGGGGTCCTGTGGTTGTTGGCTTGAAAACAAAAAGCATATTTTGGGTGTTCCCCCAGGCGGGACCAAGTTAGATTCAAGCACACGTTCTGTCTGCAGGCCAACACTTAGAAAGGTACATGTGTGAAAATGGAGCAGGTTTCATCCACGGTTCGGTGAGAAAAAGAGATGAAACTGTGATTACACGCCACATCTTCTCCCAAAGCAGGGAGGCTGTCTGAAGTGCCTCTGAGCACGTGGAGGATGGGCAGAAACATGATCATACATTTCCTTCAAATGCCTACTTAACCTGCGTATTAAGTGACAGACTCACCAGGCATTCATTAACACTAGAGACCACAGCAATGTGTTGAAAACACGAGTGAACTTGGTCTTTAGGGCTCTCAGACCCACCGGGGATGGCTTGGTGGATAGGACGACGAGCTGGAAAGCTGCAGAAGATCAGACCGTTTGAGATGGACTGTGAAGGCAGGAGCACCTCTAGAGAGAGGTAGAGAAGAAAGATGAAGAGCTTTGAAAGTGAGGAAGAGGATTTCAAATTACAATTCTGAACAGGAAGCCAGTGAAGCTCCTTAGAGCACTGACGGTTAGAAACGTCCACCATGACTGAAGGATGGACCTGTGGCATTCAGATAACATTTAGAGGTTCATCCCTTCAGAGTGAAGGTATTCTCCATGTGACCCAGCCATATAAAACAGTAAAGGATGCTTCAAAGATCTGAAACATAAAAAATAAACATTCACAGTGGGGTCAACTTTACCTGTCAGTTGTCAAAAAACGTAACATTTTCCTTTAATCGAGGTTTATTCTGTCGCCGCCCTCAAACGCTTGAGCTGCGCCCACATTTGTGAGTGCGTTAATACCTCCTACATGTGATAATGGATTTGTCTCAAGGCTCTTTTCTATGAGTTCAGCCTGTTATTAGATGCTCTCCAACGTGTTTCATCCAAATGAGCTTTAAAGAACACTTTAGGGAAAAACTTAAAGCAGCTTAAAAGTGTCACCACTGATCTTTAGGTAATAATCTTGTGCTTTTGGATGTGGAACCGTGGTTCTCAGAAGGCATAAAGACCTTCAAAGGTGTCGCTGCTGCAGATGGCTGACTGGATTGTGAAAGCGTTTGTGGAAACAGGAAGTGGGATAAAGTCCTCTGAGATGCGGTGGTGTGTAATCTGTGTTTACCTGACCGATGCTCTGCTTCTCCCGCACTCGCCTACAGGAAGGTGTGCTGTATGACACCGGGCTCCCACTCACTCAGTCTTACCCTCAAACACGCACTCATGAACGCTGCTGTTTTCCTACCTACCCTTACCTGCACGCACACACACACACACACACACACACACACACACACACACACACACACACACACACACACACTTGCACTGGTTTAATCTGCAGAACAAGCAGGAAAAAAGCAAACTTTTTTACTTCTAACTAATTTTTATGAGCAATCTTTAAAGTGCATTTATTTATGTGCGGAGCTGCATGAGCTAATGCAGCAAAAGTTTAAGAAGCAAGTAACCCCAAAATCTACCTTTTTTCTGATAAACTATAGAAATGTGTCTAATCATGCAGTAGACATGTGTAGTCAATAATTTGGCACGTTAATACGTCTTAGTTAAACTTGAAATATTCTGCCTGAAACTGTCAATGTTGCGCCCTCTTCAGGTAAAAACTCTGCACTGCGATTTACCGGTAATTCAAATCTGCCATTGCTATTGGCTAAGAGGTCCCCTATGATGTTGCGTTTCCTTATGTAACGGGTCATCTGAGCTCAGCCCAGTGTTTACTTATGCTTTCGAGTGTGTTGTTTGTGCAGCTCACTGGGTTGGGGGTGGGGGGGTTTAATCGTCAATGACATTTGTGGGATATGTGGGGTCTTTTTAACTCATTCACTGCCATTGACGACTAAAGTCGTCATTTGCATTTTTTTTACTATTTGAGCATTGGAACGAGCCCCCGCGCTGAGAGAACAAACATCTCAGCCCTGAAGCCGATCTTCATCTGCATACGTCACAGATCACATGATCAGGAAGCAACACATCCATGTGTTTGGAGATCGTTTTGGGCCGTTCCTGTAAAAAAAGTGACGCGCGAACCGGAAAAGCGTCTGCCGATCTCAATTCGACAACGGATTATGAAAGAACGGATAATGCTCAAAACACGCGGCTTCTTCCTGATGTAAGAGGTGAGTCTCCTTTGTTTTGGTTGTTTTGGCATTGACATCATGCTAGCGTGCAACGTTCTGTGACTCTTAAAAAAAACAGTAAAAACGGTGAGAAACGCTGGCAGCGAAGGCCGTTAGTGATCAGGAAACAGCTGGCAGGGAGTGAGATAATCTGTAAAGCAGTTACATTTTTATATGAAAAACGTTTTATAAATAAAGTTTGATGTGATGTACCTTGATGTGACAATGCTGTTGTCAGCCTGTGTGTATTTGTTAGTGGCTCCGCCCTCTCGGTCTGCCAGGCGACAGCATTTGTTGCATTTTTCAGAGAGGAAGTGGGAGTGGAGTGGAGCGGTGACTTGCTCTTTAAACTAGGGCTGGACGATTTGGAAAAAAATTCCCGATATTAATTTACTTATCAGCTGATATTGATGCGCATCACAACATTAAACAAATTACTATTTCTGTCAATCTTTAATGCTTTCTGTATTCTTGTAAGTGAGATTTGAAGATGTCAGGATTTTTGTTTAAAAATGTATTTTCAAAAGCTGAACATGTCTTCAAATATTATATTGCAGGTTTGGATTAATAAGAATTTATTTTTTTCAAACAAATCTTTAGCATTAGCGTAGAACAGAACTCAGTAAAATTCTATTGTTAAATGGCGCCAAATTACGACGAGTCATCTCAAGGTGCTTAAACATTTCAGTACAGTTCTGGGGCCTCGTTTATAAAGCTTGCTTACGCACAAAATGGGGTCGGAAAACTGCGTAAGCAACTTTCCACGCAAACTTTGGGATTTATGAAAGAAAACGAGCCGGCTTATGTATATGCATGAGATCCACAAGGAACTTTACATTGACCATTTTTGGCAGAAAGGGGGCGTGTTGAGGGCGGGATGTGATCCAAAAACACCTGAGCACATTCCGAGGAAGTTTCTGATTTATAAAGCGGAGATTGCGCGAAGCTGTGTGTACTCCATGCTTTATAGGTCACTAACCTACTTGGCGTAAGTACATGTTTTTGCTGAGCTTACGTACAGTTTTAGTAAGGATTCTACGTCATGTTTTATAAATGAGACCCCAGTTCATTAAGCCAATCAGTAAAAAGATTCCTATATAAGAAACCCAGCAAATTGCTTCTGCATTGCAAGGAAACGGGCATAGAAAATTCTCACAATTTTTCTGATTTATGTTGAAATATAGTTTCTTTAGGAATAAGCATTAAAAAAGAAACATAAAGACACAAATTTATTATAATTTTTAACTAGGTCGATATATGGTATGGCATGATAATTAAAATGTTGACTCCAGTTGGGTTTGGAGCGTGAGAAAAACACCCACTTTAGTGGCGACGCTGCTACGCTAACCAGCACCCAATGGCATGTCTACATATTCATGTCTATGATTGGTGCAGTCTGCTCTGGTGCTGCAGAATGAGAAACTTGACATTTTGCTGTCCGAATTTCTCTGTTTATTAACGTATCTTTCACTGTTGGCTGGCTCCGTGTTCCTGTTAGAGATGAAGATGTGAACTGGGACTTAATGAAGACTGATAATTCGCCGTGGTGACGCCAGAAGAAAAATAAGCCGAAGGAGACCCGAAAGACAAATTATTTGTTTTGAAGGCAGCTTATCATGCAGCCATCTTTTCCAGCATGTTAAATGCCCATTATGCACACATTACAAGTGGCTGATACACTGCCATCGCTGTCCCGTTTAAAATACCACCAAGTACAGTTTAGCTCTTCTGTGAGGACCAATAGCTCTGCCTTAGCCTACTAACAGCTTCATGTTTTGGTGTCTGAATCCTCGTCTGCCATAAATTGAGGTAAAAGTGTTTTCTTCCAAGAAATAAAGAATACTGATATAGAACATGCTGAGATTAAAACTAAATAATTGTTATTCTGTTTGAAAATCTCAGGATAAATGTAGTCATATTTGTTGCTTTATAAATTTAAATCTGATCTTCACCGATTCCAATTTTTTATAAATCATGTGATCGGATCGGAACCTCCCTAGTTGTAATTGAATTCATGAGTTTATTTCAAAATGCAGGCTCTGACCTTGTTTGTCTCAATATGGTAACAAGTAAACTCAGGCCTGTTTATG